CAGGGTGTCCGCGGGGTCTTAAAAAATATTCAAAGTTGATAAATCAATTTAGAGAAAATTAAGGCCCTTAAAAAGTCTTCAATGCCATTTTCCAAGGTATTAAATTTTGTATCATCTTTTCATTATGTATATTTGTCCGAATAGTGCACTGTAAAACCGAACAGTGAAATTAATTAAATGAAATGTTAACTTCACTCAAATAATAATGAAAGTGAATTGTACTTAATTGAAATAAGTTCTGTAAATTTAAAATGTTGTAGTAAGGTGAACTTAAAATGATTACGTTTTCTACTTCCCAGCATGCTTTGCATCAGACAACAAGGAAAATAAATGTAGAAATTAAGTGTTATTTTGTGTGTTTTTACACAAGATTAACATAGAGAGACATAAGTTAGTACTTAAATGTTGTGTTATGTTAGGATTTACATAGGTTTCTGTTATGTTGGTTTTGTAGTGTTACCGTTGTGGTGAAGAGTAGAGCCTGTGGTTAGGTTGAGGATGGACAGCAAAACTTAAAGACTATTAATACTGCATGTTGTTTGACTATTTACATGCAAGTATTGTGAGTCTTTTTGATAACTACATTAGTACTTGCCAGTGTGCTGTTGCTAACTAGCACTTAACTATAAAGATCTGAATGAATGTGCTGTTAATGGAAGCAAGTTGTATATAATTATCATTGGGATGAGTGGGGTGGGACCATGGAAGCGAGGCTTGGCTTGGCTCCCATGGCTCTCAGTCCCGCCCCACTTGTCATAAAACTTTTAAGCTTTACTAACTTAAAAAAATTGAGTTTGTGTACTCAAATATTTTGAGGCAATAAGTTTCCTCAAATGTTTTGAGTATTCTTAACTTAACAGGTTTTACAGTGTATACATCTAGATGTGTGAGTATTTCTATATAGGCCTACATATAAATTCATTTCAGCCTGTGTCTGTAAAGCATAATCTGCAAAACGAGTGTGCCATGAAATACGTAATGTAATGCGTGTTGTTAAAGATCGCGAGTAATTGCCATGGTTTGATTTTACCTAGTGGGTTAAAGTTTTGAAATATTGCATAAATTACATTTGGTCGAAATGCTTGTACTGAAACATTTTGCATTCTACCTGTAATAAAACTGTGCCATCAGATGTTTGTCATGAGAAGTGTTCCACAAAAGTGCTACGGTTTGCTTTGCAGACAGTTATAAGAGTTGATATGACAAATACATCTTTTGAATATACTGTGTGAACTCATTGCCCCGTTAGCTTGGAGAGCTTTATTTTCCCTCCTCAATAAGTTTTGTCAGTTGTTTTGTTTATTGGTCTAATTCTTGTTTCTTGGGTTGCATTGGTTAGTCTCGAGGTTAATTCTCTTGTGCTTCGTTCGCCACTTCTGAATTATGTTGTATTGATAAGGAGTTATCAGAAAGTAAGTCTGTTTAGCTGTGCTATCTTACAATCAATATGTAGTAAATGTAAGTTAACGTGTCGCCGATGTAACCGGTTAAAACTTGGAGTGACTTTATTCCGTTGAAGTTTATTTCATTTCGGAACATTCTTTCACGGATTTGCGCTACTCACACACAGACGAAACTTACTAGAGAAGTGTGACAAAATATACCTCTGTAAATAAATACAATTTAAATTCACGTCTCGTGCACTTTAATACCCTTTGAATGTAACGTGTACAATCCCTTGGAACTGGAATCATGGCAGAATATCATGTGAAGTACACTTCGCAGGGCACTTACGGTCGAATAAGACAACGCTTGAATGCTGCTGCCTGAACAAGAGACCTCCTTACTAAAGTGAAAGTGTTGGCTGGAGTCACTATCTCGCGAAGGCTGCGGCGGATTCTCCACCAAATTCGGGAGATCCCTTCAGCTCGAGGAGCCCTCTCGAACGCCACCCTCCGTGTGTCGGTAGCCCCCCCGGGTTCGCCAGATCGGTCAGCGCCCGACCGTGAATTTAACCACCCGTAACTCCCGGACCCCGGGGGCTATCAACGCGGGGGTGGTTTCATTCGAAAGGGGGGCTCGAGACGTACACTCGATTCGGCGTTCGAGAGGGTTCCTCGGGCTGAAGGGATCCCCCGAATTTGGTGTGGATCCGCCGCGCCGTTACGGAGATATAGACGTTCAAAGTTTCAATGGTATTCCATATACTTAAGCTTTAAAGGGTTAGTTCACCCAAAAATCTCTGTCATTAATTACTCACCCTCATGTCGTTTCAAACCCGTAAGACCTTCGTTCATCTTCGGAACACAAATTAAGATATTTTTGATGGAATCTGAGAGCTGTCTGACCCTGCATAGACAGCAACGCAACTGAAATGTTCCCAAGTCCAGAAACGTAGCAAGGAGATCTGTAAAATAATCCATGTGAGATCAGGGGTTCATCCGCAATTATACGAAGCTACGAGAATACTTTTTGTGCACAAAAGAAAAAAAAAAACGACTTTATTCAACAATTCGTCATCTCCGCATTACCCTGGTGCCATTTTGTAGAATATCCGCTGGACGTAAAACAACGTATGCTGTTCTGTGTCAGCTGCGTCACACTGAATCTGTTTCCTACGTTGTTGTGATTTCATCTGAATGGAAACAGCGTATCCACGTGGCGCAGCTGACATAGAACAGCATACGTTGTTTTACATCCAGCGGATATTCTCCAAAATGGCACCAGGGTGATGCGGAGGAGACAAATTGTTGAATAAAGTAGTTTTTTTTTTCTTTTGTGCACAAAAAGTATTCTCGTAGCTTCGTATAATTGTGGATGAACCCCTGATGTCACATGGATTATTTTACAGATTATTTTAAAATCGGCGAAACGATATATCAGTCGGGCTCTAATATACATACACACACACACACACACACACACACATATACTCCAGGCTTCAGTGTCATATCCTTACTTATTATTATTATTATTATTATAAATGTAAAAAAAATGTTTGCTTAATAATACGGTGGAAACCATGATGTATTTTTTCAGAATTCTTTGGTGAATAGAACGTTCAAAAGAACAGTATTTATTTGAAATAGAAATATATATATATATATATATATATAGAGAGAGAGAGAGAGAGAGAGAGAGAAAGAAAGAGCGAGAGAAAGAGAGAGTTATTGTTATTGATTCAATAAATTACTAATTATTATTGCAATTGTAGTTAACATGTAGTTAACATGGTGCATTTTTTTCTGAAGGGGTGTAATGATATTGTAGTGATTTTGGAATGTTTGGTAATGAAATACCACAAGCAGACCTTGATCAATGATTTATGCATGTGGAGAGATAGAGGACTGGTAATGTTGCCTTACTAAATTAGTGTTTGTGTAAGTATTGTTAGTCATTCTTCGAGGCCATTTAGACAGGTGTGAACATTAACAGACAAGTGCTGTTTCATGGATAATCATAATATAGTTTGTATGGAAATGCTCGATAGGGATACACAATTCATTCATGCACACAGATCATAATTCTACAGCTTCTTTATTGAAAATGCCTCGTGTTGTTACATAATAAGGGAAGAAGAAAGGAGAAGAAATAGCACATGGCTGTTTTTGTCCTCTTAATCTTAATTTCAATCTATATCATTTTTGAAGTTGATTTAAATAGAAGTGTGAAATGAGGTAACGTAGCACTGTCAAAAGGTTTTTTTTTTTTGTCAGTATGGCATTCGTCTTGGACTTAAACAAATAGTGGGTGAATGAATGTGGAACCATTTTCAGTTACCCATGTCACTGTAGTAATACACTGCTTGCAGTCAGCCAAGTTGAATTTATTGCGCAAGCAAAAGTGTCCAATAATGCGGAGTTAACAAGATAAAGTCAGTAGTATTCAACTGGTCATGAGCCCTGTGAATTGACCCATTCAATATAAAATAAGCTCTTTTTTTTCACAAGTACTATTTAAAATAAATGTGTATATACAGTGGGTACGGAAAGTATTCAGACCCCCTTAAATTTTTCACTCTTTGTTATATTGCAGCCATTTGCTAAAAATTCATACATACCTTTTTAAAAGTTTTGTGGTCAGTAATAGTTTTGTTTTGTTTTTTAAAGAAATAAACACTTTTATTCAGCAAAAATTGATCAAAAGTAACAGTAAAGACTTACACAATGTTCAAAAAAATATTTTTCAAATAAATACTGTTCTTTGGAACTTCCTATTAATCAAAAATACTGAAAACATTTATTATGTATTTCAACAGAAATATTAAGCAGCACAAGTTTTTTCAACATCGATAATAATAAAAAATATTTAAGCATTTCTAAAGGATCATGTGACACTGAAGACTGGAGTAATGGCTGCTGAAAGTTCACATGAAAATTACATACAATTTTTTTACAATATATTCAGAATAGAAAACAGTTTTTTAAATTGTCATAATATTTTACAATATTACGGTTTTACTGTTTGTTGACCTAATAAATGGATTCTTGATAGGCTGAATAAAGTGAAATACTGTTGTATCCTAATATTTCTCTTCCTCTTAAAAGACCTTTCATGTGATGGCGAGAGTCTAATGTTCAATAACAGGAAATGGGAAATTCTTCACAGAAGATTTAGATAGGATGAGAGGACAATCACTGCACATAGACAATCTAATTTGCTGACAGAAAGAGAACATTAAGCTTTAACAATGTGTTTTTGTGCAACGTTTTCCCCACTCCACAATCTGTAAGAAACATCAGGGAAGATATCAGCAGGACAGGGACTCGACTTCCTCTTATTCCCCTGTGCTTGCACATTTTCAGTATCTTACCTCCCTTTATTCTCTTCCACACTTTTCTTATGGGCTTAGAAATCTTCTTTTTCTTCTACAGGAGAACCAAGGCTTGGGATCCAAGATGACAGACTCCAAGTATTTCACCACTACCAAGAAAGGTCTGATGTTTTCCGTTTTTCTTTTTCTTTTTTTTTTAAGATGCAGCTGTTTTAGGATTAGTGTATCTCTTTATGTCAAAGAGATTTAGACATTTACTGTGTCTGTTCTGGCCAATGCAGATCATCAATTGCACCGCACCATTACACATTTAAATACTGTTAAATCGATCAGCATTTAGCCCTTTGCTACATATTCCTGCTCTGTTTCTGCAGACCACAGTACACTAATGGAGTCTAATATTGTTTAGTCTTATTTAGCTGCAGTCTACAGTCACTTGCAGACACATGATTGTACCAGAACAGAGTATTTTACCTGCAAATAGAGCTGCACACATTACTTGGTCAAAGCCATGAAGAACACTTTACACAGAATTATGATTGAATTGTTTTCTCTTTTAATACATAAGGCAAACAACTCCTCTAATACTGGCTGTCTAGACTTGCACTGTTTTTCTGGAAGCACATTATTTTCACGCTCTAGTTTTGTGATCTAAAAGTCATAAATTGTTGTGTGTGGGACCCTTCAGGGGAGATTTTTGAGCTGAAGGCAGAGCTCAACAGTGATAAGAAAGAGAAGAAGAAGGAGGCAGTGAAGAAGGTCATTGCGTCTATGACAGTGGGAAAAGATGTCAGGTAAGACGAGCCATTTTTTACCTTGATGGGTTTTCCACAGTTAAATATGCAGCATTTGTGTGAATTGCTCACTGTTTCATATGCTACTCTGTATATTTCCATTGGGACAGTATGAGTTTATGGAGTTCTGATATTAATATTTTTGTTCCCAGTGCTCTGTTTCCTGATGTTGTGAACTGCATGCAGACGGATAATCTGGAGCTGAAGAAGCTGGTCTATCTGTACTTGATGAATTATGCCAAGAGCCAGCCAGACATGGCCATTATGGCAGTCAACACCTTTGTGAAGGTAGAGTTCAGACATCAGTGAAACGACAAATAGCTTTATTGTAAGACATATTTTTTATATTTTATCCTACAGTTTGCACAGGCAATAGATATAGATTATTGGATATTCATTTACTTTCCAATGCAAAAAACTGTAATGTATATGGATTATAAAACAAGCTCCGACGTTCAGACAGATGAAACCCACGCTCCGGACTGTGAAGTTATTAAAAGGTAAGACATAAGCCTGCAACAGCAGAGAAACTCTCATCTCTCTGAGTACCAGAAAAGGAAGTCTTTATAGGATGGTACAGTCTGCATGGCAGTTGCTCCATCAGCACTAATGAGTTTTTGCTGGCTTCCCACACACCTGAGAATGGAACGAGAGACACATTATGAATGCCTAAAGATGAAGACTAAAGTGATAGGGCTTTTTCGATAACCGGATCTCGGTTATGGAACAACTTGCCGCTAGCCATCCGCTCTGCCCCCTCTCTGATCGCTTGTAAAATGGCTTTGAGGAAGCACTTTTATATCTTGGCTTTTGAGTCTGATTTAAGAGAGACCTAAATATCAGTGTTTTTTTTATGATGCTGTGTTTTGTTAGTGGCTTTTGTTTGGTTTTCTTGATTGTGCTGTATAGGACTTTCGGCTGTTCTTGTGGCAGTAGAAATGTGCTCAATAAGAAAATAACCTACATTAAACTAAACTAAAGCAAGAAGGGCAACTAGGCCATAAGGCCCATCGCAGCAAATTAGAAAACGCAGCAAAAAGTTTCCAAGTCCCTTAGGATCTCTGTCATGTATTATAAATCTCTGTCTTTTTTTTTTCTCGGTCTTTCAGTGTTGGACTTTAGTGGTGCTGCAAACAGCAAAGCTGTTAGTTCCCTTTCATGGAAACTTCGAACTGCGTCCTCTAGGGTGACTTTTTTTCATTGCTAGTTTTTAAAATATGCAATTTTTCGGTAGAAAGTATCTTTCAAGTAATGGAGTAGCATTTGTTTTCATAGTGGAGACTTTCCATTGACTTTCATTGTTCTTTTTCTGTGCAAATGATATTTTCACAGACATTATTTAACATTATTTAATATGTTTTTGCACAGTGTAACTAAAACCTGATTTATGAAAATATGTAGTAGCTTGTAGCATTTTTGCAACTTAGCTTAGCAAGTTTTTCTGTAAAGTAGTTGATAGCTTGGCATATGTTTATGTACATTCAACAAACTTGAACGCACACATATAAATAAGCTAATAAATAAATTGATCAAAAGATGCATTAAATTGATCAAAAGTGGCAGTAAAAACATTTATAATGTTACACAAAATCTTTCTATTTAAAAAAAAAATTCTGTTTGGAACCATCACACAATCCTGCAGTAAATATATATGAGAATGTGTATATGTGAATGTATTTTCACAAAAATATTAAATGGTACAAGTTTTCAACATTAATAATAGGACATTTTTCTTTCTAAAACATTTTAAAAAATCTTACTGACCCCAAACTTTTGAAAATGTCTGTATTTTAGGGCTAATGTGTGTTGGTGATATGTTCTTTCCTGCAGGACTGTGAGGACCCAAACCCTCTGATCCGTGCACTGGCTGTGCGCACCATGGGCTGCATCCGAGTGGACAAGATCACTGAGTACCTGTGTGAACCTCTAAGGAAGTGTCTGAAAGACGAAGACCCTTACGTAAGGAAGACTGCTGCAGTTTGTGTCGCCAAGCTGCATGACATTAACGCCCAGCTGGTGGAAGACCAGGGCTTCCTGGACACCCTGAAAGACCTGATCTCCGACTCCAACCCCATGGTAGGGCATCATAACCCAACTAGCCAAATAAGATAAAACATGTGAAAGGAATATAAAATCTAAGTCCTGGTTAGATGCTGGCAATATTCTAAAGAATAATCTCTGAACTTGGATAAATATCCCTGAGTGCATTTTGTTCTCACATTAATTCACTTGCACATGCACTTATGTTTGTTTTAAGGGCATCCGTGGGCTTGCTAGTGCCATTTAGCTCTCTCTTAGTCTCCATGGTGTGTAATTACATGCTATTGTTGTGCGAAACTCGAGACCATTCACACACAATACCACTGTATTGAGTTTAACGCCTCTTTTTTTTCCCCTCCATTAGGTGGTAGCAAATGCAGTAGCGGCTCTGTCCGAGATAGCAGAATCTCATCCTAACAGCAACCTTCTGGACCTGAACCCTCAGACAATTAATAAGCTCCTGACAGCCCTTAATGAATGCACCGAGTGGGGCCAGATCTTCATCCTCGACTGCCTGGCCAACTACATGCCCTGTGACGATCGCGAGTCACAGAGGTCAGAGGGCAATGTTATTTCATCACTCCTGTGGGGTGCACTCTAAATGGTTTCTCTGATGAAGTCTACATAATACATAAACACTAGCTTCACTAATAAAGCTAATCTAGTGTTAGACTTACTGTTTACACTGATTACTTGAACTGAGTTTAATTAAATCAGAGTTGGCTTTGAATCACTGTTGATTTAGTTAGGGATTTTAAGAAACAATATAGGATTGTTCAAATGTAGATTGCAATTATTTGTACAATCAGTGTTATTTATTTATTTATTTTTAAACAGTCTTAATTCAGCCAATGTTACACTACACAACCTGTCTTTGACCTTAAAGATTTTTTTCCTCTGCCTTGTTGAAGCATGTTTCTCTCTCTCCTCCCACAGTATCTGTGAGCGTGTAACTCCACGGCTGTCCCACGCTAACTCTGCCGTGGTTCTGTCTGCCGTGAAGGTTCTGATGAAGTTCATGGAGATGCTTCCTAAAGATCTAGACTATTACGGCACTCTTCTGAAGAAACTTGCTCCTCCGTTGGTCACGCTGCTCTCAGCTGAAGCTGAACTGCAGTATGTTGCCCTGAGAAACATTAACCTCATCGTACAGAAACGGTAGGTGCAGAGCTAAGGTAAATAAATTTGTTTATATTAAGTGATGATGGTTTGGTTTTCTCAAAAATTAATGCACAAATATATATTTTTTATATATATTAAACTTAATTATAATATTTTTTACTTTTCATTTTTATACTGTGTTTTTACCAGCCCTGAAATTCTGAAGCATGAGATGAAGGTTTTCTTTGTGAAATATAATGACCCAATCTATGTCAAGCTGGAGAAGCTGGATATCATGATCCGCCTGGCGTCTCAGGCCAACATTGCTCAGGTGAATGAAACGCCACATATACAACTACACTTCACTAATGTGAAACATGATCTCTGCATGATCATTTATGTTCTTACATTTTTCTGTTACACTACCCAGAATACAGTGGGGTCCAGAAGTCTGAGACTACTAGTGAAAATACATCTGTGTTAATAACAAATCAGCATGAATTTGAGAATGTCTGAGTATTTGGTTTGTTCTTCTTTTGCATTAATGACAGCAGCAAAATATATTTATGGTCTGCCTAATTTTTAATGTCATGAGACAATGTTTCTTGTCATGACAAATTTAAAGGGACTTTTTATCAAGTATAATTCATTCTTTTTAGAGTTCATACCTAAAATTTGTTTACTTTTCTTCTTCTTTTTTTTTTAGCATTTTCATTGTTATTTAATTGTTTGTATTTATTGAATGTTTAATCAGTGTCTGTGTTATGTTAACATCTCTCACTTTTGGACCCCACTGTGTATCACATTAACATTTGTCATGTATGCTTATGAGAGTCTGTGCTAAATTTCTGTGTGTTTGGGTGGTGTAGGTGCTGGCTGAGCTGAAGGAATATGCCACTGAAGTGGACGTGGACTTTGTGCGTAAAGCTGTACGAGCCATTGGCCGCTGTGCAATTAAAGTAGAGGTGAGCTGGCCTGACCTTGATTAGGATAACATTATTATTAACTTAATTAACACTGGCAGTCTGACGAGTGTTCATTTTAATTGCAAAGTTCACCGCTCCTAATGAAAGGGTTCAGCCTGATGTGAAACAAAAGCCAACTGCTTATTTGGTTAACTGATTTCTGGATGATGCCATTTATCCTTAAGCAGATCAGCTGATCTCTCTTTCTGTCTCTCCTGTCTCTGTTACAGCAATCAGCAGAGCGTTGTGTCAGCACACTGCTTGACCTCATTCAGACCAAGGTCAATTATGTGGTGCAGGAAGCCATTGTGGTCATCAAGGACATCTTCCGCAAGTACCCCAACAAGTAGGTTTCTCTGTGTGTGTTGTACAATTTCCCCTGTCTCTGACCTCTTTGTCACTAAAGCTGTTTCTCTCTTTCTCTCTCTAAACTGCATCCTATTTCTGTTTGGCTAAGGTTCATTATCCAGATGTTAGAGGTTCATTGTCCTGACACAGCCTCTGTTCAGCCATGCCTTTCATATAAAATGTGTTGAAGAAGAATTCAATAAAGATTCACTGAACCCAGCCTACCCTCACTATGCCATTTTGCTGCTTCACTGTTGTTTTTTTCTTGAATGTATTGTCAGGTATGAGAGTGTGATTGCCACTCTGTGTGAGAACCTGGACTCTCTTGATGAGCCCGAGGCACGCGCAGCCATGATCTGGATTGTGGGAGAGTACGCAGAGAGGATCGACAATGCAGATGAGCTGCTGGAGAGCTTCCTGGAAGGCTTCCATGATGAGAGCGCACAGGTGAAGTGCCATTCAAATTGCTTTATTAAAACCCTCTTTGTGAAATAAGTAATGCTGTATTAAGCAGACTTGCTTTATGCATGCAGCGTATTAAGTTGCTTCCATGTGCATAAAGAAAAACTATAACTGTGTAATAGGATGACTTTTTGCTGTGATATCAAAATTGGTCTCTTTCACTGGTAGTGGTAATGACTACTGAAATTTTGGTATCATTACAATAATACCATACTACCCTAGTGAATAATGGAATAAACTTACATGAACTTGTCTCTTGGAAAATCATGTTACAGGATTTGTCCCTGCGTTAATGTTTTTTTCACGCTTCTCTTTCAGGTGCAACTGCAGTTGCTGACAGCTATTGTGAAGTTGTTCCTGAAGAAACCCACTGAGACCCAGGAGCTGGTGCAACAAGTGCTCAGTCTCGCCACACAGGTGAGATATCCACACGGACGTATCAAGTACACGGGAGTATCAAAGCACACGTTTCAGTGAGAAAAAATGACACTGCACCTATACTTGCTCACACCTTCAAGGGCACTCTCTGGAGGTGTTGCCATCCTCAAATGGCAGATCTCTACGCTGATATGCTTAATCTTTTTTGCAAAATGCTGTAATTGCTTTTTGTAACTGCAGGCAGACAATAAGAGGATAAACAAACCACAAAATGGAAGACTTCTAATTAGTAAAAATGTCTCAAATGAATGTCAAGTGAACAGGAAGCAAAAGATGATTATAAAAGCATCAGGAGTTAGAGGGATTAGTGTCCTGCTCCTGTGAGCCTATTAGACTACATGACCTGCTCCGTTTTATTATATTATATATGTGCATATGTACATATTTGTGTCATAATGCAATGTAAATAGTAAAGCATTCTGATGGTCCCCAACAATTTGGGTTAGAGCTTGTGGGCCAGAGTTTTGAAACCCTGCACCAGATCAAAACGGCAGGTTCATGACAGGTTTATATTTATTAAACATTTATATATTTATTAATGTTAGCTTTTTTCCTCTGTGCCATTTAGGAATTTAATTGCTATTAAAACGTTTTTTTGTTTTTTTTACATCATCAGAATAAGTATTTCCTGTTAAGTCACTGTGTTGCAAAATAAGGGCACCTTATTCCTTTTTTTTTTTTTAGTTAAAGAGAGTGCTGCATATCCATTAATTTCAGATGTTCAAAAATGATCAAAACGTGCTTGCTTGACAAATGAGTACCAATTAAGTTCTAGCACATTAAGCTAGCACATTTGAGCTTCCACACTAACCAGTACAATTTGTTCTGGCACACCAAGCAAGCACGATTGAGCTTATGTTTATCATATTTGATGTGTTCTATGTAGGGGCGTTGCTCAGTATGTGAATTATGTGTAAATAAAAGCCTAATTAAAATCTATTCATCATATAAAGGAGGGTGGTGATGACGATGATTAATCCATTTCAGTCACTCTCCATTTTAAAGGGGTCATATGATGCGATTTCAAGTTTTCCTTTCTCTTTGGAGTGTTACAAGCTGTTCGTGAATAGATAAGATCCATAAAGTAGCAAAGACTAAAGTCTCAAACCCAAAGAGATATTCTTTATAAAAGTTAAGACTCGTCCACGCCTTCCTAAAATGCCTCGTTCAAACACGCCCCCACATGTCTATGTCATGATGTGGGAAGATTTGCATAACACCGCCCAACTGTTCACGCAAAGAAAGAAGGCGTAACTTTATTGTTGTTGCCACCGCCGCCGCCATGTTGTGAAGATGCTGTGTGTTTCGTGCCGAAAGTGAAAATACTTTGTTTGGCCTTCCAAAAGAGGACATGACTAGAAGTCAGTGGTTAAGTTGTATTTACAACACTGTTCCAGAACAGTTCAACCCAAATATTCAGATGTGTGCAGCGCATTTTATGGAGGACTGTTTCCTGATCCTAGAAGAGTAGACTACAATGCCGGCTGTTCTGACTCAGTCTGTAATTATGTTTTCATATTTAAAGAATTTGCCACTGATGATTCAAACTCGAGTTTTGAGCAGTGTAGAGTAGCGCTTGTTGTTTGTAATTTCTCCGATCACAAATGCAGACATGGTTTTATGTAGGGCTGCACGATAAATCGCATGCGATATTTAACGCGCATCTTGTCAGAAAGCCGGTTCTGTAATCAGCGGTAAATCTCCATCACATGCGTGCCTTCACATTGAGCAGCATTAACTACACAGAGCCGTTGTTCACTGACGAG